TCAACAAAGAAATAGAGAATCCAACATGACTTGTTTGGAAACAACTCTTATCAAATTTACATATCATATTTCACTATCCAATAGTCCTTGCTAGTAAAAACTGTCCAAAGCACAAGGTACTATTAGGCAGTAGCCATCTCCCTGCAAATTGCTTCAACATTGTCTAAAACATAATATTTAGGTGGTTTCCTAATTAAACGTTATTTTTTATAGTATTTTGTAACATATCGTTTGAATTAATTTTTAAATGTTAAAATAACATTTTATAAAAATTTAACTCTTGTAACGTTTAGCGTTTTATATAAAGCTATTCAAACAACTATTAATTACTCAAACATTTAAACTTTGCTAGAATAGTAAAAAATTATCAAAACAATAAATTTTACCAAATAGACCCTGGTATATGCATGACTATTCTTGTTGTTTCTTTTGGCTATTTACATTGTCATCATCATGGAAAATTAATTGCTCAATACAGTGGTTGATTTAGTCATTGTGACCAAGAAAGGGAAATAAATTGAGTTTTATCTTCATTAATTTTATATATTTTCACAGTATAGTTCTTAATTAACAATAATTTCATTCCATTAAGTACTTTGAATTACATAAAATTATAGCAAATAATGCCTAGTCCAAGTGGTAAAACCGATGCCTTGTTGCACACCAAGGCATAACTGAGTGATAAGTGCATATACAACTTAATAATAGATGTAGATTTGAATCTCTCTTTCCTAATACTCGGAAAAAAAAAAAAAAAAAAATAGTCCAAGTGGTAAAACCGATGCCTTGTTGCAAACCAAGGCATAACTGAGTTGATAAGTGCATATACAACTTAATAATAGATGTAGATTTGAATCATCTTCTTGCCAATACTCGGAAAAAAAAAAAAAAAACATTATGCCTTATCCAACTCGGAAAAAAAAAAAAAAAAACATATGCCTTATCCAACTACCAGCGGTAATATTTTTTAATGTTTTTGTTTTATATTCTTTTAGCGTATTCTACTGGCTAATGATGAACTTGATAATAAAACTACTTGCTAATAACTTACAATATATGTTTATAATGCAGGTACTGGGTAGGTTTTGGTAGTTAGACCACTATTTTGTTGGACATAACTGAACTAGGATTCACTTTTTAGGAGTTCCTCAACGAGGGAACCTCATGGCCCATGCTATATATGTTGGCATCTTTTTGGTATTACAAGAAAGAAAAAAAAAAAAAAAAATTCACCTTATCTTCGACGGACAACCTTTAAGAGTAATTGAGGTCACTAAAAGCTGTAATAATAATTTTTACTGTCCAACTATTTACTGTAAAAATTATTGTTTGGGAATTACAATATAAAATTGTATAAAGTTCAAAGAAAAATATCGGACTTACATCAATTTACAAGAATTTTAATATGCCAAAACAGATAAATAAAACAAATTATTTTCTCAATGCTAATGATTAAGAATATATATATTTTGGGAAATAATATTTTTATTTCTAATTAAGAAATATTTAAAAATGTTTAAATAAACTAGAAATATTTTATCCTATGGCTAGTCAGAATTACTTAGGCTTATTGTGAAGCCAATACGGTAGCCGACCGCTTAACTAACGAGGTGTTATTTAAGCCTTTGAAATTGCAGACATTACAAGAGCTTTCTTCAAAAGCTAAGGTGCTTTTTGATAAAAAATAAAAATAAACTAAAAAACATTTTATTCTCTAAAAATTTTTCTCAAAATTCACAAAAAGGTTTTGATTTTTTTTTTTTTGTTGAAGTGTGTTTCTATTTCGTCAAAATTGAAGCATATACGAACTAAGTTTTTCCCAATTCAATTTTAATAAAATTAATTCATTTTGCTGATGAAAAACAAAATTAAGAGAAAAATAAATTTAAGAGTAAACAAGGAATATAGTTAAGAAAGCAAAGGCAGCCATCTATAATCTATATGTACAAAGGCTACAATGTTAGGGTAAGAAAGAAATAGACAAACACATTATATATATATATATATATAGACACACACCCACATCCCTTTTGATTATAAAGTCACATTTAGAGATAAGGATAGAGAGAGAGGCAATTCAATTATCAAAACACACTTTATATCCAATGGTTGGTGTGTGAATACACATTACAAGTGTTGGGTTGTTTGTTCATATTCTGAGCAAATCACAGCCATTGAAATTGGCATGATAATTTGGTTCCTGAAGCCTGATCATAAAGTAGAAAATTTTTGAGAATAAGTGAAATAATTTTGTAATGATAACAAGTTATGTACTCTAGAAGCAAATATTTTGAACCAAAGCTTTGTTTTTCCAGTTCAAAGGAGACCAATTCCTACTTATCATTTCCACCAAGAGCAAAAAAAAAAAAAAAAACCAAGACAAAAAAAAAAAAAAAAAGCAATCTTAAAGTTTTTGTTGTTCCACCTATTTGACAGTTTGACTCAATAGGCAGCTTTAAACCTACAAAAGCAAAACCATTTGATGAAAAAGAGAGATTTTTGTTAGTCAAAAAAAAAAAAAAAAAAAGCAATCTTAAAGTTTTTGTTGTTCACCCTTTTGACAGTTTGACTCAATAGGCAGCTTTAAACCTACAAAGCCAAAACCATTTGATAAAAAGAGAGATTTTTGTTAGTCAAAGTGAAAAATGATTGGGAAGAACACATTCATTGGATTAAATTAAGGGTTTTCAAAATTTTGTATTATTCACATTATCATGATTTGAATTCAATATGATTGAGTTTGAAGAATATAGAATTTAAATTCGGACTTAGTCACAGTTAAGGCTTTTCACCGGAAATCAAACTCGAGAATTTTTCTCACATTCTCGGCCTGCATTGTAAGTGAGCCACAAGCGGTAAGTAGCTTAGATTTTTTTTTTTTACGCTATTGATAATACATTTTATCTAGTCTTTTTAATTTTTTAATTTCATAAAAATCTGTTATCAGACAAGTGATTGTATTTGTATACAATTCTCCTTGCTCTTTCCCTATGTACTATTAGTAAATTTCCCAATATCTGTAGTTTGATTGAAACTCTTATAAATACTATAAGAAAATAATTCATAAAAAATAGATTTTAAAAAACGAAAAATAAAAAGTAGAAAAAAAATTTCTGTTTTTCATAAACAAAATATAAAAATAAAAAAATTATGACAAAGGAGCCCTAAGTTATTTATATTAATTATTTTTTAGTAATACTCGTATTAAATTAAAATTTAATGATAATAAAGCAGTACATTCTCAAATGTATCACATTGGTACAAGAAAACATTCTGTAAGATCACTTGACAACATAGCTGATATGAAAATATTATCGGCTGTAATTAAAAATAAAACATACATATAATTAATAATTAAAAAAAGGTTCTTATTTACTTAATGCATAAAAAATTATAGTAAAATTAAAGTAGAAAAAAGGGTTGGAAAAAAAAAAAAAAAACTACGAAGCAGAGGGCAAAAGAAAACAAGAAGCACTGTTGTTTGTTGGTCTTTCGAACAACAGTCTCACTCACCACTGACTCACCTGTTTATGACATTTGGTGCCTTTCAGTATTTAATAGTTTTAAAAAATTATTTAAATATTAAAAGTTCAATAAGACAAAATAAAATTATATATTACATAATAAAAATTAATTTTTTCATTTTTAAAATTTGTATGATCGAAAATATTCAATTTTTAAATTATGTAAAACAACTGAAAATATAGAGTATTTACACCATTAATTTTCTCAAATTATAAACCACCATTTCACTATATATTTGTACACTTAAGAAATATAATGTATTTAAATGGACCAAAAATCTAAACATAGTTTTATTACCATTTATATATAATAACTACAAATTATGATTTATACAAAATGAATCATACGTTTGGCACATTTTATTTCTATTTTTTGGAGATTATAACACAAAATTTGTATTAAAGTTGGAAATTTCTATATTTGGAGACAAATGCAATGTCGTAAACTAGCACCAGTAGTAATTGTTAAATACTCATTTCGCTCCACTTTAATAATAATAAATAGAAATTTTATCTTGTTTCATTTCAAGTGTTTATTTAGGATTTTAAAAGTGTATTAATTATTTTTTTTTAATTTTATCTATATTTATTCGATGTTTTATAACAAAATTAATAGAAAAATTTTTAATTTTAAAAAGGATAATATAAATATTTTACTATATATTTTAAAAATCTGTTTTAATCATTATTTTTTAAGGGTTGTGAAAATATCAAATGTTCCTATCGAACTAGATTTGAGGGAGCACAATCTTAATGGCTATAATGAGCATGGAGCAGTGCTACTAATTATTGCATTATTAAAAAAAAAAAAAAAAGATTAATCGTAAGAGCACATTTAAACCAATTGTTATTTATTTATTTATTTAGTTTTCCTAAATTCTTTAATCATTCCAAAATTCAATTCTTTCAGTTATCCACATTCCACGAAGAATGTGATTTTCCAAGATTTCCATTTTTTTTTTTTCATAAAAAGAAAATTTAAGCTAACACAAAAAAGGCTTTATTTCAAGGAGTAATGTAAACACACTTTCGAGAGTAGGAAAAGCTAGTACTCGCTAAGTTTTATCCTATTCTAGTAAACTAGGGCGTTTCAATGACCCCCACATGGTGGTGTCTACGTCAGATAAAGCGAGTATAGTACACTCTCGCACGTACTGAAACGACAACCTTATCTTTGGAATGGCATTTTCGTGAATTTTCGAAAAGTCAATCCTCATTTCACTGACAGTCCCATTACTGGTCTCTTTAACAAGACTTTAGCAGTGAGAGAAAGACTCACTTCGAAACCAGAGATAAGGACACATGCATGTCACGCCATTCAACGGTCAAGATTGTCTTAACTTTTTCATCAAATAGTATTTACCGTTAGATCTAAAACCCCCAAAAGAACCACGGTTAAGAACTTTAGTCAAAACAACTTTACCATGGTTAGCTAAGCTTCTTCTCTGAGTTTAACTCAAAGCACAAGTGCGTATCTGTTTTTCTGAGAGAGAGGGAGAGGGAGAGGAGAGATGGGAAGAGTATCTGTTTATGATCTCTCTCTGGCTCTGTAGTTTCATTTTTCTATTATTGGGTATTATTGCTGTTGGATTTTGATTTAGTGAACAATTTCCATTTAGGGAAGTCTCAGATTAATAGATCTCCGTTCTTTAATCTCTTTCTTTTTTTTCCTTTTTTTTTTTTTTTATCAATTTGTGTAATCATCACTTTTTGATTCAAATATGATCACTCATAACCCAACAAGAAAGCATTTTCTATCACTTTCTCGGGAAAATTCGACTTCTTTCTATCTCTTCTGTCATTCTAATAGTACCCATTAGCTATTTTTTCATTTCCAGATCTGCTCCCTCCATTATTGTACTTTTTATTCAAGATCTAGCTATAATTTTACAGCTTCAGATCTGGGTTTGTTTATTTCAATATAAAAGATTCTCCTTTTTTATTTTTTAGATTGAATGTGTATTTTTCCCATTTAGTTGGTAGAGCGAGGAAAAGAAAATGAATTATTTCCCAGATGAGGTACTAGAGCATGTGTTCGATTTTGTGACATCGCATAGAGACCGAAACTCAGTGTCTCAAGTATGTAAATCATGGTACAGGATTGAAAGCTATAGCAGAGAGAAGGTTTTCATAGGAAATTGTTATGCGATCAGTCCGGAGAGAGTGATTGGGAGATTCCCAGGTCTGAAGTCTATTACTTTGAAGGGAAAGCCTCATTTTGCTGATTTCAATCTGGTCCCAAATGATTGGGGAGGCTTTGTTTACCCGTGGATCGAAGCTTTTGTTCGCAACCGGGTTGGGTTGGAGGAGCTCCGGCTTAAGAGAATGGTTGTATCCGATGACAGCTTGGACCTACTATCAAGGTCTTTTGTGAATTTTAAGTCTCTGGTTCTTGTCAGTTGTGAAGGGTTTACTACTGATGGCCTTGCTGCTGTAGCTGCTAATTGTAGGTAAGAAAAAAATGCGTCTGTTGGTTCTTCTTTGTTTTGGTGATCTGGCTCTCTATCAATTAACTATTTTTGCTTCTTTTTTTTTCCTTCAATTTTTTCCCTCTTGTAATTTATATGGTTTTATGGTTATTTGGGCTGCTTAAGCGTTGTTACTTTGACTTTCGCTTTAGGTTGCCCTTTTAACACGGTTTTAATGATTGTCTAACTCTGAATTGCTTGTATAAGTAGAAAGAAAAAGTGTACGATGTCTCATTTGCTATTTTGGTTAAAATACTTTTGTTAGGACAACTAGGTACTTTTGAGGGTTTATATTTGCAATCTGGGTTTTGTTTGTTTCTTTGATGTCATTATGTGCAATTATCTAGTAACTGTTAAAGGTTTAGCTGTTAATACTGTCATATACAAATGGAGACCTCAAGTGTAATTTAGGAAGTTGTAGTTTTTTCTTGGGAGATCTAACTTAGAGGTTCGTACACATAACAATCCGTTTGGATGATTTGATAATCTTATTGTTTATGAACTAGAAATCTATCTGATCCTATGCTTGATTCCTTTGTTGCTAATTATGTGCTAAATCTTGAATTACTGAGTTATTGTCTGCTTTCTAATATCTTTAGTGTGTATATTGTTGGCAATTAAAACAATCTAGTACTTCATTTTGTCTTTATTAACAGATAAATATGTCTTCTTCATGGGTGAACTGTTGTCCTGAAATTTTCCTAAACTTGTCTTTATTTATTTATTTTTTTGCTTTTGTTGGTTAGTGGTGTTCAGTAATGGTCTGTATAGTTAATTCCTTTATAAAGTGATTACTTGCCTGCATGTTGAAATAGTTATCCATTTAATGCTTATTAGATCCTCTGAAAGGCACACATGCTGATTTAAAAGCAATTATCACTTGGTAAGTTGACTTCAATAAGAAAATATGTTGTTGGTGGTTAATACGAATGGTGGGTGTTCATAATTCTGATGGAGATATTAACTATGTTATTGCTGATTCTTTCTTTCCCTTTCCTCCATCCTTGCCCAGGAATCTTAGGGAGCTGGACCTGCAAGAAGATGAAGTTGAGGATCATAGAGGCCATTGGCTTAGTTGTTTCCCTGATAGCTGTACATCTCTCGTGTCACTTAACTTTGCTTGCCTTAAAGGAGATATTAATTTAGGAGTTCTCGAGAGACTTGTAGCAAGATCTCCAAATCTCAGGAGTTTGAGGTTAAACCGTGCAGTACCACTTGATACACTTCAAAAAATATTGATGCAATCACCTCAGTTAGTGGATTTGGGTGTAGGGTCTTATGTACATGATCCAGATTCTGAGACCTATAATAAATTAGTGACTGCTATTCAAAAGTGTAAATCAGTCAGGAGTTTGTCTGGGTTTTTGGAAGTTGCTCCCCACTGCCTACCAGCTTTTCACTTGATTTGCCCGACCCTGACCTCCTTGAACCTGAGTTATGCTCCAGGAATTCAAGGTAGTGAGCTTACAAAGCTAATTCGCCACTGTAGGAAACTTCAGCGCCTTTGGGTATGGCCTATTAAATTTTTTGGCTATTAGAAGTTCTGCTAATTTATTCCAAGAGATATAACTAAACATTTTTTACAATGTCTGCAGATACTTGACTGCATTGGTGATAAAGGGCTAGAAGTTGTGGCATCCACTTGTAAGGACTTGCAGGAATTGAGAGTTTTCCCTTCTGATCCATATGTTGGAAATGCAGCAGTGACTGAAGAAGGTCTGGTCGCCATTTCCAGTGGTTGTCCCAAGCTTCATTCAATTTTATACTTCTGTCAGCAGATGACCAATGCAGCTCTTATTACAGTAGCCAAGAACTGCCCCAACTTCACTCGCTTCAGGTTGTGCATCCTCGATCCCACAAAACCAGACGCTGTGACCATGCAGCCATTGGATGAAGGTTTTGGGGCAATTGTTCATTCTTGTAAGGGTCTCAGGCGGTTGTCACTTACTGGTCTTTTGACTGACCAAGTTTTCCTTTATATTGGGATGTATGCTGAGCAGCTAGAAATGCTTTCAATTGCATTTGCTGGAGACAGTGATAAGGGAATGCAGTACGTGTTAAATGGTTGCAAAAGACTTCGCAAGTTAGAGATAAGGGATAGCCCTTTTGGTAATGCGGCACTTCTAATGGACGTGGGAAAGTATGAAACAATGCGATCCCTTTGGATGTCGTCCTGTGAAGTGACTCTTGGAGGCTGCAAGACCCTTGCGAAGAAGATGCCAAGGCTCAATGTAGAGATCATGAATGAGAATGAGCAGGCAGAATTTGGTGTTGATGATAGCCAGAAAGTAGATAAGATGTACTTGTATCGGACATTGGTAGGGCAGCGGAAAGATGCACCAGAGTTTGTATGGACTTTGTAGAATGCATCTTTTCTGGCACTGCCGAGTATTATTTTTCTTTGTTATCAAGTAGTAGTACTTTGTTTTAGGCCCAGCTGATTTTATGGATTTTTAGCCTGTTGGTATTCTACTAGAGTTATGGTGCTGTTATTTAATTGATCAGAGATTTGCTATTTGTAATCTTTGTTATTATGAATAGAACTGTGTTAGTATTGGCCAGTTCCAAAAATGGTGATATCTGCTGCTCAGGCAGAGTTCAAGGGAATGTCTTGAGTGCTGTATTATTTGTACGTGTATTTGGGGGCTGGATAGGAATAAAAGACTTTAGCTCGAGCTTGAAAATAAAAATCCTAAGGTATTACAGAAGCTTCTCAACCATCAATGCTTTGTTAGAATACCATCTACCGAGCTAGAGTTTGCCAAATGATAAAACATTTAAGCTAGATAAGGGCTTTTGTTAACTTTTCAGTATTCCAAAAGTGCTCTTCTACGTCAACTTGTTTTGTGCTGCCTTTTTTATGCTATTGAGTGGTAATAAATAGGGCTTTTTTTGTTTGTTCTGGATTTCAATTTGATGTCTTTTTATAAATATTTGACATTTGGGTGATAGTGAATCTTCACTCTTATTTTTTCATATTTTCAGTTTTAGTAATTTTTAATTAATGAATAATTGTAAATATTTTAATTAATCAGCAACATTTTTTGGTAGGTTCAAATTTACATTTCAGAGAGCAGCACGCAGTTTGATTATTCAACCAAACACGAGACAGAAGAATCTTGCTGTAAGTTGAAACTTTGTTTCGATGCTAATGTAGTATCAATTACTTTTCTCAAATAAAAAAAAGAAAAAAAGAAAAAGAGGAGTATCAATTATATAGAGTTTCAAATCTATTTTTTCTTTAATAAATATTAGGATTGAATTGCCAATTAAATATAAATGGCCAATAATACAGGACAATATCCCTCTTTGTGATACTACTTGAAAAAACTGGTTATAGCTAAAAAAGTTCAACGGACTACGATAATCTTATAACCAAATTCTATACAATTTCATAATAATTTTTTGAATATTATCAACCCAAGCATAGCCTTAGCTTTCTGTCAGTTTTAACGTATCTTTTTATTTTTCAGTTAATCTCATGAACTATTAAGAGTTTGAATTTTAGCCTCTCAGATAAAAAATCAGTATTTAAATTGAGCAATTTTTTAATTTCCAAACTCACGGTGAACAAAAGACTTGCAACCATGCATGATTGTGAGTTTAGGCTGTTCTTGTTTGGCACCTTTGTTCACAATTTTCGCCTACAAGCGAAGGGGCCTTCATTTGTAACTTAAATACCAAATGAAGCCAATGAAACTGTAACCAGTCTCTGGTATTTGCTATTATTGAGAAAAACAATTTATTGCAAAAATTAATTTTGACTGCTAAAATTTATTTTTAAGGTGAATTTCCACATTTTATACGTTTTATTGGGAAATAAGTTGAAGTTACATACAAAAATAAATAAATAACATTGTAGCATATTTATACTGTATACAAGTCTGAGAAACTAGAAAAAGAAATTTTGCACAGAAAGCATACATTATACAACCATAGAACTTGACAACCAGACAATGAGAAATGACTGACAATTACCAGACCGCACACAGACATAGTGTGAAACTTATTGATGCGGTTTAAATTTTAGAAGCAGCATTCCTCCAGCACACAACAGCAACAAAGTGCAGCCAAACTGCAAATGCAAAATAGACAACGAAAGAACCAACAGTTAGAGGGAAAAAATAGTAGCAAATCTATCTATGCATTTAAGTAACTTGTTCTTCTGTTCCTAAGGGGATTGCCCAGGAGTGAAGGATCAGAATCACCATTAAAAGGTTTTAAGTTCAAATCCCATGTAGGGTAGGGTAGGGGATTTATTCGGAAGGAGAAGATTTTCTCCCCGCTTTGTAGCTCAATCAATGTTCCAATGTATCAAAAAAGGGAGAGCAACTTTTTTTTCTCTTATTGTAAATGCCCACTAGGCATTTTAAACAAGTCAGCAAACAAAACTCAATGTGCAATTCAATTCTAAACACAGATCCTATGAATATGCAAATATCACTATAGTTAACATTGACACATGAAATAAGTAAGAGAATTCATGAGATCATAAATGCCAACACCGACAGCTAAGAGCCTGGAAGAATATTAAGTGTTCACAGCCTTAAAGACAGCTTGATATACTCCCCCACAAAGTACAATTAATCATTCAAAAGAGTATCTGCTAACTAAATATGCAAATTAGATGGTTACCACGTTATATATTTAATTTATAAAAAGCTGAAGGCCAAGAATACAAAAACAACCATGCATGAAGGCAGGGAACATAAAATTTATGAACTTCTCAAGGAAGAGAACACCTTGACAACTAAAATATCAAATATCTCGTGTTGATTTGCACCAGTTTCACACTAGAAACACAGAATTTATGAGATCTGGGCTACCACCCAAACTGATCCTTTAGCTAGTTTATTGAGTTTTTGAGCCTTGAATCTTGTATCGATCAAGTGCGGTGCAGTTAATATAATAACCAGTTGAACCAAGTTACATATTTACTGCAAAACTAATTGTCTAATCACATGCATCGACCAAATCCAGAGACTACCATAAGTTAACTGCACATTTCATTTGTAGGAATTGGAAACTTTTAATGACAACACGAATTTTCATATATTGAAAATGGAGATATTGCAGTGGAGGATGAAGATAACAAAGAATGCAATATCCTCATCCATGCTGTTAAAGTCACTTCAGTATGTGACACATAACCAAGTCTCATGCACTTCTAAGCACCCAAGCAAGAATATGCATTCACCTAGGTGCACAGGTGCAGGCCTAGTCTTAAAACATATTTTGCAGTAAAAGGATTAAAAAAATAGGAAAAACAAAAGCCTAGGTCAGATTATTGCTAAGTCTGTGTTCATTACTAAGGGCAAGAAAATAGTTTCAGTCTTTTAAACGCTATGTTCAAATGTTATGTGATCTGAAAACTGTTATGCTTGATTCTTTCGCATGATAGTTAAACTATTAACAATGGAAAATAACCCAAATAGGATGTGACCTGCGCCTCTTACTATTCTTCCAATTACGTTCAAAATTTAACAATGCTTACTAACAATGTTAAATATTCTGCATAATGCTTCAAAAACACCAGCCACTCAAAGCATGCCACCCGATTCAGCTAAGCTTAAATTCTAATCTAGTTTGAGGCTTTGATATGGATCCCTTTTCTCCATTCTATTCAATTTGGGGGGCTAGATATAAGATTTAACGTTGCAATTCCTTCATCCTCAGTCATCCTACTGCTATATAGTCTCCTTAATTCTCATAACTTGGAAATGATCAACGTTCTATCATGGTGCATCTTCTGGTTTATGCTTAGCAAGCCCTAACTGTTTAAGTGCTATTCAAAAAACATTTCTCCAACAGCCATTGATTAATTGATTTATAACCATTTCAATAAATTTCATTTGTTTTTGTAGTTCATTTTGCTTGTTTTAGTGTGTAAATGTGAGTGAGAAAGTGCGTATTCATCCCCTCAGTTACAGTTTTCTGTTGCAAACCAAGCAACTTCAAAGTCAAAAAAAGTGTGAAAAACATGCACCCGATTACCTAGCCAAACCCTACCATTTGCAAGTTAAAAAAACATGTTTGCTGCAAAAATGCAATTCCGTACTTTGGATTTTTTACACTTGTGATCATCAGAAAGTTATACAGCTGAAAATGAATATATAAATTGCAAGCCAAGATATAGGTTCATTTTTCATAAGAATCAACTATTCCCAAAAGAAAATTTCAGATCATGGCATTTTCTCACATTATAAGATTTAAATAAGAGTTAAAAAAAAAAAAAAAACAGATAAAAAGCCAAAATAGATAAAAACAAAGCCATACCATCCCCTCAAAAATGAGGTACAGCCATCATTATCTTGATAATGGTGATGCTCGCAGTGATAATGCTGATACTGCGGCTGACCGGGCTGCGGTGGAGGTGGTGGATATCCTTCAGCGAAATAGCCTTGATAACCTTCGTATGGCTGTCGCGGTCCTGGTGGTGGTGGATATCCAGGATATCCAGACGGTGGCTGTGGTGGTGGATAACCTTCATAAGGTGGAGGCGGAGGCGGCGGAGCTGATGGAGGATATCCTGGTGGTGGATAGGGCGGCGAATACCCTAATCAAAATTCGACAAATTCGCAAATCAGATTCTAAAAGAAAAAATAAAAAAGGAAAAAAGGAAAGAAAATTAGAGATTAAGGGTCTTAAATTACCTGGTGGAGGGTAGTGTTCATGGGAAATCTTCTGGTAACTCATTTTGACAATCTTCGCGATCGAGTTTGCTAATGGAGGACGAATGGATTCAAATCACCACGGATTTTCGCAGTTTCCTTAGAGTTTTGCTTGTGTGCGAGCAGACTCATTACAAGATAGATGGACTCCTTTGTAGCCGTTGGATGTAGATTGTATAACGGGTGTATGGTCCAGTTAAGTTGCTTGGAGCTTTCTCGTGTTAGCTTGACACTCTGGCAGATCAATTTGCAATTTATGGATATAGTACACGGCTGGGCTGTATCCAATACACTTTACCATTTCACGAGATTTTTTTTTTAAAGTTATAATTAAAAACTTTTCCTTTGTTAAATGAAAAATCACTTCTGTGACATAGGGTTCGCACAAATTTAAATACCATGGATTCAATTTTATTTTAATTAATAATTAATTAAAATCAAACAATAATATTAAAATTTTTAAGAGATTAGGATATAAATTACAACTTATTTGTGTTATTTGACTATGAATTTAGTTTAATTAATAATTTTGAAATGACGTATCTTTTAATACTGTTAAATACTCCTTTTTTTAATTACTTCATTTTCAAATATGAGAATTGATAAAATAATTTTATCAAATTAATTGTTGTAAATTTTGACTTTTTAAAAAATAGTGTGAACATTGTTTTTTTGGGCTTAAATTATTTATCAGTTGGTAAAGTATGGTATTGATTATAATTTTTACCTAGCAAATTAGATCCACTCGTTGGACACAATTGAGAAAAGGGACGCGGCTAAGGAACCGGTTTGCAGTCGTCGTACTTGCGTTGCTTACTCCTAAATTTATAATTTATCATTAATGACAGTCAGCGTTTTCGGTTTCAACACAAAGAAGGAATCATTAATTAACAAAGAAGAAATCTACCTCACCTGCTCTAATACCAGAGAAGAAAATTCTTACTCCAATTCTACGCGCTTTCACCACAGTATATAACTAGCGCTTTCTTCCAAATCCTGCAACCAAATTTCATTGCCCAAAATGAATAACAACACAAACCAACCTTCACAGCCTCTTTACCCATCAATTTCCTCTGACAACCCAGAAGACATAAACCCGTTTCACCAAACAATACCACAAGCAGCAGAAAATCATCAAACTGTAACATCGTCGTCTCAGCCGCCGCCAAGTTATGATCAGAAACCGCCCAGTAATGATCAGAAATACTGGGGGACTCATGTGATGGGGACGCCTGCAGTCCCGACATGTCATCCAGATAACAAGAAAGCTGCCTTATGGGGTGGTGGAGATGAAGCTGCAGCAGCTCAATACCACCATCAGCATCCTTATCTTCAGTATAGTCCGGTTGATAAACCAAGTAGTAGTCCGATGGATTCTATTTTACACAAGTTCAATTCTTGGAGCAAGAAGGCTGAGATCACGGCTCATAATATTTGGCATAACTGTATGTATATTTTCATCCATCTTATGTTTTTTCTTCAATTAGATTGAATAGTGTCTTATTACTACGAAGTTTCCTTATTCCGAACCCTTATTACCTAAATTTTTATTTTTATTTTTATTTGTCTTGGTCTAGAGTTTGGAAAATAAATTAGATTTGACCATTGAAATAGAGGTAGACGGGAACTAATGGATAAAATGGAAATACTTATCCACCTAGAATATTTACATACACGTGAAATATAAATTGAGTATATACACCGAGTCGTTTATATATTTTTTTTTTTTGTAAGTGAGCGTATATATCGGTTGTGTATGTAGCGGCGGAGGAAGAGGGGACTGAGGGAGTTCGATCGCCAATCTCCAGAGTTTTTTTTTTTTTTTTTTTTTTTAATTATAATATGAGTAAATATTACACCGAGTCGTTTATAATTTTTTTTTTTGTAAAGGAGCGTATATACGGTGTGGTAAGTAGCGGCGGAGGAAGAGGGGAACTGAGAGTTCGATCGCCAATCCTCCAGAGTTTTTTTGTTTTTTTTTTTTTTGTTAAATTTGCTTTAATATATTAGTACAGATTTTTTTTTCTTCTCATATAGTTTCCTTAACTTTTAAAGAAATATAATTTTGTTTTTTTTTTTTTTTTTTTTTGTTAATTTGCTTTATAATTTAGTACAATTTTTTTTTTCTTCTCTTTAGTTCCTTAACTTTTAAAAAATTAATTTTGGACCTCTATATTCTAAAGTCTAGCTCAGTCTTACTTAAATCGGTGGTTTGCTCTCCGTGCTGCGTTTCAGAAACGCGGTACCTAATCGCCATACAAATGCGTACCAAAACACTAAAATTAGTGAATCGAGGGAATCGATTATTATAGGATACTCAGGGTAAAATTCTAATTAAATACCTCTAAATTTTAAATTTTTAATTTTAGTAGTTAGTCACTCACCATATTTAATAGGTTTTTAAATAATTGCTTTTAATTATATTATTTATCATACATATAATTCAAAGCTAATTCAATAAAAATTTTTATCGTTTTACATATCTTTTATAGCAAATTTAAAAAGTGCCGTACCCTGTATTTATACCTGTATCCGTACTGCATATCATGGCGTATTGCGAGTTAAGTAACACTGGTCTAGCTCCATTATGTGATAGATGATAAATCCTTTAACAGATGAATGATTAGTGTAAGTTTTAAGGAAAAAAAAGAATTAGGGAAGAAGATATTTTTGAACTGCACACACATATATATTTATGCACCATTGATTTTCTGCGCAAATATATAACAGTGAGGACTAGCCCATCTGTGTCAGAAGCTGCATGGGGAAAAATGAATTTAACAGCAAAAGCAATATCAGGAGGTGGATTTGAATCTCTGTACAAACAAACATTCGCAACCTACCCAAATGAGAAGCTAAAGAAGACTTTTGCTTGCTATTTATCAACATCAACCGGACCAGTAGCTGGAACTATTTATCTGTCTGACTTTCACGCAGCTTTCTGCAGCGATCGTCCCTTATCTTTCACTGCACCCTCTGGCCAGGAGACTTGGAGCTACTACAAGATTATGATACCCTTGAACAAGATTGCCACAATCAATCCTGTCGTGATGAAGGAGAATCCACCAGAGAAATATTTACAGATTGTAACAGTTGATGGACATGATTTCTGGTTTATGGGTTTTGTTAATTATGAGAAAGCTTCCAAGCATTTAACTGAGAGTCTCTCACACTTTGTTGCCACAGGAATTGCAGTGCAGCCTCCAGTTGCTGTGTAATCATCAGCTATTTGTTTTCAGGTTTTTTTTTTCATATATGTAATAATATTAATTTAATCTTTTTGGTAGAATGAGAGTACAATCATTTAGATGGTGTAATAATTATTTGTAGAATAATGAAATGTTATTTTCTTCTCTTTCCTTTTTTTTTTTTGGAGAATAAAATGAATTATATTAAAGCAAAGGAGCTAGATCCTCCAAAACAAATAAGTTAACAGGGGAGGGAACTTCCTCCATAAACTTGAGAGCTCTTCTTCAACAATAGAAAGAGCCATTTTAGCCAAAGCATGGGCAACCTTATTACATTCTCTAACCACATGAGAACAACAAAATAAAAGAAAGGATCCCGACAGCAGCTTCAAGTTGAGTATTCTGGTACCAAGCTCAGAACGAGGAACTTCAGGACTGGAAGATTTCTAGACCAAAGCAATGCAGTCCGTTTCAAGAACAATATGGCTAAAACCCAATTCAGCAGCTCGCGAAACTGCAAAAATCGCCGCCTCCATCTCAGCCTCTTCCGGGGATAGGTTGTATTGAATGGAGCGCATCCCAGCTGCCATGACCTCACCAGCTTCATTCCGAACCACCATAGCCAAGCCCACCGCCACACACTCCCTAACAGCAGCGTCAGTGTTAACTTTCACCACCCCTAGTCCCGGTGGAGACCATGAACTAACTCTAGGCATGGGTGTGCCCTCTATTCCCTTCTCCTGCGCACCCTGATACTCTATGATTGTACTTAGGGCCAATTGAACAATGGCAGCGGCAAGCATACTACTATTTTCAAAAATGAAAACATTTCGAGCCCGCCATAAAGCCCATGCAAGCATCATGGTCAATTCAATCTGGGTACTTTCAAGGTGCTGTACCTTAGCCCAAAACCACGTCAAAACATCATCCCCTACAACCTGATCACGTAATCGCAAAGGAGACAGCAGCCAAACATCCTTCGCTATCTGATATTCCAACAAAACATGTTCTGTAGTTTGGACGCCTTCCCCACAATGGGAGCACCAGTATTCCACCTCAACGCCTCGCCGCACCAGTTTTGAATCAGTAGGAAGAAGATTACGACAAGCCCGCCTAATAAAATGCTTAACTTTCAGTGGTACCTGTTGCTGCTATAGAATTTTCCAAGTCTTGAAATATTGGGAAGCTGTGGAAGACTCCCCCTCCTCAATACCAGCCTGTGCCAACGCTATGTGATAAACCGAGCGCACCGAAAAGATCCCATTTTTATTGGCAGGCCATACTAGCAAATCTGTACCCCTTCCACGAGAGAGTGGTATCTGACAGATAGCCTTAGCCTCTCTGGGACTGAAAATGCTGCAAATCAGTTCCTTCCGCCAAGTGAAGGATACATGATCGAGCAAATCACTCACCATGGCAGTGTCTTCAAGAATAGAGGGAAGCGAACAAACTAGTATTCTTGTAAAGACGGCACCCATCTACCCTTTCAAATACGGATTTTTGCTTTGTTACCTACAAGCCACCGCGACCCTTTATCAATAAGCCACCTTGCATTCTGCTACGCCAGAAATAACTGGGTTGGTAGCCAATCCTCGCTTCCATAAATGATCCCCTAGGAAAATAGTGAGCTTTAGTGTTCTCGCAAGCAAAAAGTTGAATCTTGACATAATCTCTATCCTTGCTTTACCAGCATAGCCAAATTGAAAGGTTGAATATCACGAAAGCCCACCCCTCCAGCCTGTTTAGATCGACATAGCAATTGCCACCTTTCCCAGTGAATTTTCCGTTCCTCTTGTTTCTGACCCCACCAAAAGCTAGCCATAATGCTTTCTATCTGTTTGCAAACCTCCTTCGGGAGCAGGAAGCAACATAGTATACGTTGGAATAGCTTGTACAACAGCCTTCAATAAGATCCGCTTGCTTGCTTAAGATATGAATTTTTCTTTCCAGCGTTTTAGTTTTTTTGTAACACGGTCAACTATGCCGCTAAACATTAGCTTCTTTTTTCTCCCAATCATAGTCGGTAACCCGAGATATTTCGAAGGGAACTGGACACCACTATTCCCCAACTTGGTCTTTATTACAGCTTGCTGCTCCACAATCACATTGGTGTAAAAGAAATCTTCGATTCGTCCAAATTGATTTTTTAGCTCGAAGCTGTCTCATAATCCTTCAATATTTTCACCACATCATCTATTTCTGGCCCGTGGCCCTCTCGAAAATAATACTGTCATCTGCAGAAAATAAATGGGAGACTGATAGGGCTCCCTGCAAATGTTTATTCCATGGAGACATGGACGAGATTTTGCCTTATAATGAGATTAGAAAAAATCTCTGCACAGATAAAAATAAGTAAGGAGACAAGGGATCACCCCGTAGAAGTCCTCTTTGAAGGAAGAAGACTTCTTGAGGTTCCTCATTGATTAGTAAAGAATAAGATACAGAATAAACACATCTCATAACAAGACCAACCCAGTTGGAAGTAAAACCCATTTTTAGCATAGTGCTCTCCAAAAAACTCCATTCAATCCGATCGTACGTTTTATCCATGTCAAGCTTAAGGGCAAAATGACATGTAGATTTGTTTTTCATGAAATAAAAAATTTCAAAAGCTAAAATAGCATTGCTTAATTTATTAACATCATTTGCTTAATACAAGACCTTAAAATTAGTTGCTTAATAAAAAAAAAAAAAAAAAAAAACGGACGTATTTAAAAATTGAATATTTATGATTAATTGGTGTTCAAAATTTTAAACACTGTATTACTCGAAGCCAAGCCTCAGTCCACTTCTCCTCAACTTGAGTCCCCACTTTTGGGCAGGTTGGGTCAATAAGAAAATTATGATATGCGGCTCATATGTAAAAAAGAAAAGTGAACGTGTTTGTTCCAAGCATACTGTATTTATAAATAACCAAATCTAAATAAATAAAAAATTTGTATCTATATTTAAATTTTAACACCCAAAAGAAAATTAAATTTATAAATTGAATTGAAATAATGAAATAACTAAAAAATCGAGTTGAACATTTCAAATTAATGCAGTTGATTTTTAATTTTTAGTTCAACTCCAATAATGTTGAATAAATCAGTTGGTCTTTCTACATCTTGTAAAAGATGCAAAGAGTTCAAAATCTCTTTATCACAAAAGTTATCACTAATTTAGTGAAAATTATGAAAGGGAGTTACCCTGCTATGTATCCCACAGTATTATTTGGGTCTATTGCATTCCATTTATAAGAAAAAGGTCAAATTTTGAAACTTTGAGAGTTTATAAAGAAATTCAATATCAAGAATGGAGTTGGAAGAATTTAATGCCCAAATGTGTACAAAAATTAAGTTCTAAAACAAAATGCCTTTAATATTAGTTGGACTTATAATACAGTAGTTAAGGATTCAAACCTTGACAATTCCTAATCTTTTTTTTTTCTGCTTTCAATTAATCTATTTTCGGTTTTTGTCAGCTCAGACTAATAATTGTGACAGCCAATTTATTGCCAATAGATTTCATAATAATTGCCAATTTATTGCCAATTGTCACATCGTCCATTGTAAGACGCACGATATGTAAGAGTACACAGCTGAAAACGAGCTGTGATGGTATGTAACTGTAAAGTTGTCATAAGTTTGTAATTATTATAAAAAGGGGTTAATTTGTTTTACAAAATGGGTTAACCAAAACAAAAAGAAAATTATGGTTATCTCGTTTGTATAGATCGAATTCGAATAATTTCGATTATAAAAATTTTTACTATAATACTATTTTGACCAATTAAATCTCTAATACTGAATAAAAGAAAAGTTACATTTAAGTTAGAATTATTTTATAACCAAAAATTAATTTAGGGTCAGTTTAGTATTTCTATTTCAAATAATTACATCCATTGGGAAAAATAAAATTACTCTTATTTTGGTTTAATATTTACAATAATGATGTCAAATAAATTTTTTTGGCAAATTGGACTTTAACCTGCCTTATCGATCAAAGTTTAATTATAGTGCGAGCACTCGAAGTATAGCAACTAATTGAATGCATAAACTAGAACGTTATATGCACTATATTTGTACTATTGCAAATAGTTATTGGGTCAATAAGATTATCATTAATTTGGTTCAAAATCTAATAATAATAATAATAATAATAATAATAATAATAATAATAATACCAAAAGATCTTTATTTGGCAAAGTGAGTTTCCTCCTAGCAAACTATAGTAACTAATTAAATGCATAGGCTGGAACCGTATGTGAAAAAAAAAAAAGCAAATTATTGAAATGAAATAAAAAGAATTATATTTATTATTCATTTCATCCATAAATATAAAGTCGTTTTAGTATATTTTTTTAATTTTATGTATAATCGTTTTGAGAATATCAAAGAGTGATTAATTTTATTTTTTCTATTTTACCCTTATGTAAATTAATTACAATAATTATCTCTAAAATTTTCTAAAGGGTAATTTAATAAATTATTGAAAATTTTATTATTACATAATTTAAGAGAATTAATTATTTTTTTAATCACCGTGCAACAACTTACTATATTTATGAACGGAGGGATATCATCTTAAGGGATTTCAACTCTCAATTTATCAATTTTTTCTTTAAACATATTTGCATGAAAAATGAAGCATCAAGTATGGAAATTGCTACTATATAATTGCAACACATTATTTTATAATATTTAAGGATTTACTCGGTGAGTTATAATGAAATATATATAGTATAATCAATTGCATTTCTACTTTTAAATATTTAGTAAAAAAACATTAGATTTTCATTATATCATATTTTAATATATTTTATGAAAAAAGACGTAAAATCATCTTACAATAACGTAAATATTAATATCATGCTAAAAATAAAATGCATGTAATCATAAAATGTTAACAGTTAATTGTCAACTTAAGGAAATTTAATTACTAGCCGACAAGTGCCCTATAACCGTTTTCAGCTGCCTAATAATATTTTTTTTTTTTTTTTATGAATTTTTTTTGTTTAGACCCTGTTTGTTTGTAGGGTATAAGTAGGTTTATAGAACCAGCCTGGTGAAGTCAATTTCTTTTTTATTTCCTTTTATTAATTAAATTTCATTTGAAATTTAAACATGTAATTCTACTGTCTTAAGAACAACTCTAATATTATTGAATGGAAAATTATTCTTATACTTCCAAAGCTAAACTTATCAGTACATATAATAATGGGTTTGATAATTTAACCGAGATAAAGAATATGACAATCACAGATAGGGCAGCGGTGGACCATCTCAGGCAGAAGCAAGTAGACCAGAGGGCCACAACAATGAGCTTTTATCATGAAAGGAGGGTCTTGCTCGTATTGCCTCCTTTCAGTTAAGAGAGGATGCTGATGGTCACTGTAGCAGCAGCACCGTCCGGTCAGGTCAAGCCACATGTCGCTCAGGTGAAACATACCTCCCCCTAGATTCACTCTACTTCTTAGATCAATCACCATTGCTTCATTTAATGCGTTCTTGTAGAACAGAATCTGGGCCTGCAAAATCAAGTACAGAGTATTAATTATTTTGTAGTTGGTGCGTGCGTGCATGTACGTATGTTTGTGTATAGAGAGAACAAACCCTACCCTAGCATCAAAGCAGCGTTCCCATGGGAAAGGAACAGAAGATTCAGGGCTGGCTTGAAGGAAATACCAGAGATTATAAACCATTTTTAGCTGCAGATATACAGCTTATAGAGAAGAGAAATGATGATGTGACAGAAATGAAGGGGTAAGGTGTATTTATAGAGTAAATCCAAGTCTGTGGGCTGGTCAATTTAGGGAAAACTACAGTATGATGTCTTTAATTTGCAAAATACAACTCTAACCTTTTTAAAATATATCAATTTATCTCTATATTTTGCTTCCATTATACTACTAAATCATTTTGTCCAACTTTTGCATTTGTTCCATAAAGTCAACAAGAAAACACAAAGATTAAAGGAGAGATACTAAAATATTACACTAAAAAAATTACAATACGGTCCTTATGGTTTGAAAAATATAACTAGTCCAACCTTGTGTTTAAAATGAGTATTTTCATTATTTCATAAAGCACTTAACGCAAAAAATGCAAAAATTGGACGGAAAGACTTTACAGTTGATAAAATTAAACTATAAAAATATTTTAGTTTATTTTATAAAATACAGAGACGAATTAATTTAATTTCATAAACTAAACGATCTTGTCCGATTAATTAATTACTTGATTTGGTTGTGCTTATCCGAGAAGTTTTTTTTTTTTTTAATAGAATAAACCTTCTCTTTTCTTGTTTTTTTTGAAAGAAAAGTAAAACTTCCTTTAATTATATTTGTTCATTTATTCAAACTAATTATTCTCTCTTCTTTTCCTATACTGGTATATACGAGACCATTCATACACTAAACCAATAAAAAAGTTATTTTAAAAAATTATTACCGTTTCTTGCGTATTTCCCCCGATAAATGGTCATAAACACCCTTATTTGAGCAAAATAAACTGTTTTTTATTGATTTAGTATGTACATGAGCCATATACTAGGTGAGGTAAATCCTTCATTTACACTATTTTTTTTCCTTTTTGACTTTAGGAGGAGTGAATTTGGAAGTAAGGTAAAATATAATATTCTAATATTATTATTTGAGTGAAGAGAAACTAAATTTGGATGAAAGGACAAATTTAGAGTACACTATTCAGGCAAGACTTATTGAGGGTTACCATCGTTTATTGGGAACAAAAATGGAATAAGTTTTTAAAAATCTATCTTTGATGGGTTTAACATATGGACTAACCGATTCATACATCGCGTAAATAAGAGATGTATTTTTAATATCTGAAAAAAAATTATAAAAAATATGATATTGAGGTAGGGGATCGACTCGCCTAGTTAGACAAGTCTATGGGCCCACTCATAGGAGTAAAAATTAAGATTTTAATATTGAAAACAAATGATTGTTTGTACGTATATTGTTTTCTAATTTACTAAATATTTTGATGGTAAATGATTGATTATCTAGACTGGATTTATGGGCTCACCATATGTACTAAATAAATAATATTTTTTTCACCATGTATGATTAGAATATTCTCATTTCAATGAAATAAAAAGTCATTTTCGTTAATTTAATCTATGTAAACTTATAATTCGATTTAGATAGGTCAATCTCAAATTTTACAGGGGAACATTTCATGTTGAATTAATAGAAATAATTCAGACTCACCGTGAACCATTTAGTACTACTACTTAAGGGAGAAAAAAAAAATTCAAACATTTAGATATATACCACCAATTTATTATTAGTGGGATTATCTTAAAGCACAAATAATACATAATAAATGTATAAAATACTCTCTCTGTCCCAAAATGTAAGTCATTTTTTAGTGATTATTTTGTCCCAAAATAAAAGCGTTTTGAGTATTTTAAAGAATAATAAATGATATTTTTCCAATGTTACCATTATTTACATTAGATACAATAAATACTTTCATAAGTAATTATTAATTTTAAGAAAAATGATAATTTAGTCAAATTGTCCTTGATTTTGTTATAATTTAAGAGAGTTAATTGCTTCCTTAATCCTTGTGTAAAAATTTTAAACGATTTATATTTTGAAATAGAGTCAATATATATTCCTCCCTTAAAGTAAATATGAAATCTGCCATTCCAAAACAAACCATTTAATTAGCTGATTAATGCATAATTAAAAGGCAGGTAATACTCTTGGTTGTCTTTCATTACTCATAATAAATGTTAGCAAGAAAGTTTGGAAGTTTGTAACAAACTCAATACCAAGACTGAAGAAACCACCACTCAAATGTGAACAAATCAAAATTAAGTCCTAAAACAAAAGGCCATTAAGAGCAGTTGGGTTAATATTTAATTACCTCATAATATAATTAAGTGGTTAAGGATTCAAATTATTCTTCACAATCCTCATCTTTTTCTTTCCCAAAATATAAACATAATTTTATTTTATTTTTATATAATTTTATTTTATTCTACGGTACAACTCCATTTTATGCGCATGCATTTCATATCCTCTCAATTATTTTAGGTAAAATGCAAAGCACTATATATATATATATATATTTGGCAGAATATATAAATTTACTCTTAAACTTTATAACTTAACTTTGTGGCATCCTAAATTTTACGGAAGACTTATTATACATTTGAATTTATAAATTTTAACAATATTACACACTTTTTGACACTAATGTCAATGATTTTTTAGGATTTTTGGCTTTTTATACACAAAATATCGTTTTAATATGTAGTTAACATGACTTTTAGAATCATAATTTTCATAAATAAAATAAATTTTGATTGATTTAATTTTGCAAGTTGAAGTGCTCAATAAAATAAATTTAAAAATTGAAGTGTTTAATAGATATAATTTTATAAGTTAAAGTGTTTGATGGATTAAAGTAAAAATTAAGGATGCAATAAGGTAAAAAAACAAAGTTCAAGAGTGTTTAATTGATTTAATTTTGCAAATTAAATTGTTCAATAAAGTAAATTTAATTAATAAGTGTAATTTTATAAGTTAAAGAATTTAATAAATTAAAGTAAAAATTAAGAGTGTCGTAAAGTTAAAATAATAAAAGTTTATGGTGAATTTACGTACTCCGCCATTTATCTTTTTAGTCCAAATAGTTTTAATTACAAAATGTTGATATCAATATGCATGGCCATATCTTGAAGCCAAATGGCTGCCTAGCTAGCTAGTGAGACATGCTGTAAAGTAAAGCAACCATGACTTTGACCAAATTCTTTCTAAATTAACCTTTCCGTAACTACCATACACTTGCATTTATTTATTTATTTATTTTTAATTTTAAACCAAAAGTATTTAGAATCGCATCTGTTTAACAATTTACATAATTCAGAAGACAAGTAAAGAGTTAGCCTTTAAGGATTTCGTACTAAAGCGGCTGAACTCATGATATCAAGGATCCATCAACTCCCTCACGTGTGCTTTACCGTTACGATTTTATTCTTATATTATGCTACAATGTACAATTTTGTCCATGCATTTTTTAAAGTATACTATTTTATCTTTGCCTTTTACCTTGCTATATCTTTTTTGTCAATTTTTCTAATATAGTGGGTAAGGGTAGCCTCCAAATATTTGTGCTTACTAATTGATTACTAAGATTGTTTTTATTTCAGAGGTCAAAAATTAAAATTATAGAATTTTTTTTTTTTTTTTTTTTTGTTTTTTTGATTTTAATTTTGCCAAGTGAAGTGCTCAATAAAATTAAAATTTTAAAAAATTGAAGTGTTTAATAGATATAATTTTATAAAAGTTAAAGTGTTTTGATGGATAAAGTAAAAATTAAGGATGGCAATAAAGGTAAAAAAAACAAGTCAAGAGTGTTTACCATTTATTTAATTTTGCAAATTAAAATTGTTCAATAAAGTAAATTTAATTAATAAGTGTAATTTTATTAAGTTAAAGAATTTATAAAAAAGTAAAAAATAAGAGTGTCGTAAAGTTTAATAATAAAAGTTTATGGTTGAATTTACTACTCCGCCATTTTATCTTTTTAGTCCAAATAGTTTTAATTACAAAAATGTTGATATCAATATGCATGGCCATATCTTGAAGCCAAATGGCTGGGCCTTAGCTAGCTAGTGAGACATGCTGTAAAGTAAGCAACCATGACTTTGACCCAAATTCCTTTTTCAAATTAACCCTTTCCGTAAACTACCATACTACTTTGCATTTAATTTATTTATTTATTTTTTAATGGTTAAACCCAAAAGTATTTAGAATCGCATCTGTTTAACAATTTACAGAATTCAGAAGACAAGGTAAAGAGTAGCCTTTTAAGGATTTCGTTACTAAAGCGGGCTTGAACTCATTGATATCAAGGATCCATCAACTCCCTCACGTGTGCTTACCGTTTACGATTTTATTCTTATATTATGCTACAATGTTACAATTTTGTCCATGCATTTTTAAAGATACTATTTATCTTGCCTTTTACCTTGCTATATTCTTTTTTTCAATTTTTCTATATAGTGGGTAAGGGTAGCCTCCAAATAATTTGTGCTTACTAATTGATTAACTAGATTTTTTTATTTCAGAGGTTCAAAAATTAAAATTATCGAATTTAATTTTTTTTTTTTTTTTTTTTGGATTTCTTGTTAGCTCAATTAAAAGGTTAGAATATAGTTGAATTCTTATTAATAATTTGAGATATTTGAAAAATATAGAATGCTTTAAAATTATAATTAGAATATTCAAAAACGGATAATTTTACAGTTTTAGCAATAGCTCTACTATTATTGCATCTAACTTATTCTTATACATCCAAACCTAGAATTATTGCATCAAAGTTATGAGTTTCTTTATATATTAGGGCGCCATATATTATATGAAATGCAATATAATTTAATTATACGTATTTACTGTATAGTAAAAATACATTTTATTATATTACAATATATTATATTACGACTCATTAAAATAAACTTTAAAAAAAAATCATAAGTATTGAGTTGGTAAAAATGGTAAATGAGGATCATCTACCACTAGAGGTTTAAGATTATTTTCTGAGTATGGATTCTTTTATTAATTAAGAGGGCATTAAGTTTAACTAATTCATATGACTTACACATTAGCTAAACAATTAGAAGTCAATACTTAAATTCTTATTAATGATTTGAGATATTTAAAAATATGAGGTACTTCAAAATGATAATTAGAATCATA